TGCTTCTCCCTCTCCCACTCCCCCTGCTTGTGTTTCTGTTCTCGCTCTCTCTCTCTGTCAAATAAATAAATAAAAATCTTTAAAAAAAGAATTAAAATAAAATTTGGTGAATGTCAATTAAAGTTAATTTTTCCTATTATTCTTTCTTCTATAAAGTGAAGGAAACCCAAAGAGTTCATGCAAAAAAGACATCTTAACAGTTTTATTATGCCTGAATTTGGGAAAGGCAAAATCATAAAGAGATGTCAGAGGAGACAAGATATGAACATGAGTCAAAAATATCCAAAGGCAAGAAATAATCTCAGCCAATATCTATATTCAGTATACTAGGAAAAAGAGTAACACCATTTACCATCTGTGCCCCATAAATACTTCTAAGTCACTTGAACAGATAAAAGGATGGTAAACAACTTTATTAGAATTTTAAATAATGAGAAAGTAGCAAACTATGTTTCATATTTTCATAGATTTGATGCCATATGTACCTGATAAGGGCATTGTCTTCTAAATGTAACTCAGTTGTTATGTATGAACCTGGAACATGTCCATCTTGTAAATGTTGATTTTAGATTTCAAATACATCTCTAATAGGGTCTACCTTATCATTACGTTCTGGTTCTTGTATCAGCAAAATGCAAATACTTGAAGAATTAATCGAAAACTGACAGCAAATGATTTTGTTGAAAAGAGAGTGGCTGTCTTCTTAGCTCCATAGTTATAAGACATTATCATTTTTAGATTTATAACTACATGTTAGAATGATCAAATAATTTTTCATTCTGTGTCTCCTATTTCTTTCCATAACTTTGTGTACACATCTATTTCAGCATTTGCCTATTTAAAAAAAGAGCTTTATTGAGATATAATTCACATACCATCACATTTGCTCAAAGTGTACAATTCCATGTACATGTTGTGCAACCACCATCAATCTAATTTTAGAACATTTTCATATTCCCTAGAAGTTCCATACCCATCATTAGATTCATCCATGTTACAGGATATCAGTACTTCTTTCCTTTTTATTGCTGATATTATTCCATTGTATAAATATATACATTTAATCTATACATTAGTCGATGGACATCCCCCCCTCCATTTTTTGGCTACTATGAACAATGCTGCTTTTAACATTCATCTACAAATTTTTTTCTTTTCTAAGATTTTGTTTATTTGAGAGAGAGAGAGCATACAAAGGGCAGAGGCAGAGGGAGAAGCAGGCTCCCCACTGAGTAGAGAGCCCAGCATGCGGCTCGA